TTTTTATTTAGGTAGTTTTTTATTTAGACGTTTTTTTTTATTTAAATAGTTTTTTTTATTAGATAGTCTTTATTTAGATGGTTTTTTATTTATATGGTTTTTTATTTAGATAATTTTTTATTTAAACATTTTTATTTAGATAGTTTTTTTTTTTTATTTAAACGTTTTTATTTAAATTACTTTTTTTTTTAGATCATTTTTTTTTATTTAAATTGTTTTTTTTTTTATTTGGATCATTTCTTTATTTAAATCATTTTTTATTTAGATCTTTTTTTTTTGTCTAGATCGTTTTTTTTTTAGATCACTTTTTTTTCTTTAGATCGATTTTTTTTTAATTTTGAACGTTTTTTTTTTTTATTTGAGTAGTTTTTATTTATTTATTACTTTTTTAGATTTTTTCTTTTTTATTTAGCAGTTTTTTTGGTTTTTTTTTTTTTTTAGTAGTTTTTTTGGTTTTTTTTATTTTATTTAGATAGCTTTTTATTTAGATCATTTTTTATTTAGATAGTTTTCTTATTCGAATTGAATTTTTATTTTCGAATAAGTATTTAATCAATTTACATCATATAAGAGTACAATAGCATAAGACGTACGCTTGGAGTACTTTCCTGAAAACGCACTTGGAGAAGAGTGTAAATGCTTTCTTGAAAGGAAGTAGGGACTCTTTGGCTGTACCTGGCCAGCACTGACCGTGTCCCCTGTGCTTGGTGTCCCAGATTTCTTTAGGAGGACTTTTAGAACAAGAGCGCCCAACCATAGGTTCTATGCACCTTCCTCTGTAATTAAGAAATCAGGTTCACAATTTACTAATACGTTTTTATAAAATTATTATTATTACAGAATTTTCGGATATTATAAGATAAAGTATGCGATTATTGTCGAATTCCATTTAGAAAACATATTCGCTTGGCTTATACCTTTATTGGCTGACAGCAAAATCTTAAAACTATTTTGGACTATATGTTGGCACGGGTCATAGTTTTTTCCATAACACTAATTTTGAAAGTAAGTTAAAGATCGACTAAATTATGCAATAGGGATTATCGTTTTGTCACTAATCTTCTGCACAGTTTTACTGATTATTTTTTTTTCACGTGCAAATTTAAGTCTCAGCTTGGAAGGCTTCTTCTGAGGCGTGGATTGATTTGGTCCGAGAATAGGGTGTTTTACGATACTGTAATGATCATGGAACAAGGCAATACGATATACGAAATACGACAACAACGTTACGACTAACGTTGTTAGTCAAAACCTTTTTGCAAAATGACGAAAGGCGAAACTACATCATTTATTCAGGAATTTGAAGCAATTTTACTTAGAATATGATTAAAAAGATTATTATAGTATGTGAGAAAAAAAATTTAAAACATGTATTGAGCAGCAAGAAACAATAAAAAAAGAAAGAGATAATTAGAATATTCAAATATCTACTACAATTCAGAAATCACTATATAAGAAAATTTATGTAATTTCATAGTATATAAAAGAGCTAATAAATTACAATTATATATTTTGTTTACAAGCAATATATAAATTTAAGGTATTTAAAGGACAAGTTCTTAATGCGTTTAAATTTAGTGGCTCTATTTAGGGTCTAATTTTACCGATTAGCCCATATTAACGCATAATATAAGCACTAAAAATTTTTCAACATACCAATTATTTAACACCAATATTTTAGCATTAGAACGTAATATGGTAAAATAAAAAAAGCGATCCTAAATCTACTATTCTATTATAGCAATAAATGGGATAAGAAAAATTTTAAGAGCCACATGATGCAAATATTCCAATATACATTCGTATTACACATTCTATTGGAACTGTTATGTTTAGTGCCATTTTGCGGAGGTGGAGATTCATTTGGATTTTGAATTAGTGGTATTGTGCCATTACTATTAATCCATTCATAAGTGTCATTCGCCAAACTAATTACAAGCATCAACCGAAAATCATTTGTACTAGCCGTACCTTTAGAGAAAAATCAATTAATACTTAAAATTCAATAGGTTAAAATTAAGCGAAGCAATTGTTAACTTACAAAAAGTAAAAATCATCCAATCTTTATATATATTTATTGCACCTGGGCTTACAATGGGAAGGAGTGGAACAACGCTGTTAGACGGATCTGAAATATTATGTATGGACCAAGCAAATGAAGAGGTATCTAGCACATTTAATTTATTAGTCCACATATTTAGACACAATAGTTTGTTATTATCTTTTTTTAAAAAAATGAAATTACGTTAATAAGGTGTAAAAAAACTAATTATTAAAAAGCTTGAAGTTTCACTCACAAAGCTGTCCATTTTTGCATCCGAAGCCAAATTCCGTAGTGCCAGTTGTTGACTAAATAATTTTAATTATTAAAATATACATACTGTATATTTAGGTCAAATATAAAAAATTGTACCAACCTGATTGTACCATGAACCTTTCACAGTATCATAAATAACAATGAAATTTAAATTCTGTTTAAAAGATTAAGAAGTTAATATAAAGTTGCCAATGTCATGTGATTTATAGGTGATAGTTCTTTTTAATATAGTAACTCCAAGAATTTCATTAAAATGTCCTAGCTGGATTAAGAAATTGCATTATTATGAAATCCACTAAAAATTGATTTTATTTCTATGTTATTGCTGTTTTCGACTTAATTAGATAAAGTCCCACGAATCCTGAGTTACAATATAGATTGTTATTCAAATTGTCATATTTTATGGATTCAACTGCCTGGAATATCCTGGTTCGCATATTTGCCTCAATCACTAAGGGAACTTAGTTTCCAGGGCACATGTATATTTAGAAATTTATTCTAGTAAAAAAAATGTTTCAAAGGAGCATATATAAATAATAAAGCGAGTCACACAAGATATGACTAAAGTGATTACTAGAGATGGGTAAATAAACGATTTTTTTGAATATGCTGCGTATTAAATGCAAAGTATCTATATCGACATTATCCTAATTATTTCACCTTCGGAAAATCTTGCGTCCTCTAAATTCGATCTTTTGTTCATTTTCTTTTCGGAATACTTCATAATTTTGGCATTTACGAATCCTATTTCTGATGCTGCCCAGCATTATACTCTCTTGTCTAAATTATAAATTGCAGGCTGTGCATATGCCCATCTCTACTCATGTGACTCAAAACCATAAAATTAATCAACCCAACTAAATAAAGACTATCTAATAAAAAAAACTATTTAAATAAAAAAAAACGTCTAAATAAAAAACTACCTAAATAAAAA